GGGGGGGGGGGGGGGGGTTAGCCTTAATATTATCATTATAGGAGGGGGGTTGAAATTAATTTTTGCTTAATGAGAGGGGGGTATGACTTAGTTTTGGGGCATATTTCACCCATTTCCCAGCTCCTCCTCCCTTCAGGTAATTATTGCACAGTCCCTAACGGGGAATGGGTCGAAACATGGGCATTCCCTACTCGGCCATACCGCCCTTTTGCGTTTCCGATGTCTAAACACTCGTCTAACTCTAAGTGACCCTGAGAGAAAAAAAAAACCGGCTGCCAGCAGTCCACAACCTCCAGCTCCACTAAACCAGAAACAAACTAACAGCGTCGATACCCGTTACTGTGCCTTTCAATAACATGCGGACTCTAAAATTCAGAGCTCAACCGACAAATGCGTTTTTCACTACCGTCAATCAAATGTTCGGCGGCTCCTCCCAGCTTCCGACTACTGCCTAGCGCGCGGTAATCAAATCCTTGAGCACAGTTCAGCCAACGAAACAGAGTTGGTTTAAAATATTGATGCACTGTGAAAATTGGAGCATAGCAATAAAACAAAATAAAACTGTGAACACATTCTCTGGCTACATAATTTGAAACACCAATGATTATTTTAAATGTCTGTCTGCAATCTTCAAAGGGTAAAATAGACTGAATTTTAGCCAGAGAATGTTTTAACACAGTGGAATCCTGATTTCTCGAACCCTCAATTTTTCGAACCTCCCGGTAACATGGATCAAAAGTCGTTTCCCCTCCTCAGTCAGACGCTGTTATTCTACCCCCGATTTCTCGAACTATCCGATAACATTACTTGAACCAATTTTCGTTTCCCTTGGAGGTTCGAAAAATCAGGATTCCACTGTATGTAAACAGCTACTAATTACGATAAGCAACAAGACAGATTGTTTCCAAAACTTTTGATCTTTTACGAAAGGGATCATTCTATAGATGCAAGGTCGCTAACTAAAGAAAACGTCAACCAGTAGACACCCTTTTCGGAAACCTTTAAACTTTTCTCGAGATTGCCTGAAAAGGTTTTAAAGTACAAGCGAGGATGTTTTCAGGAATAGCAAGGAATTCATGTTTGATTCTTTTTTTATCGTAAAGGAATGTTTCTCTGTTCAGCTACAATAAGGTGATCTTGAAAACATCTAGATGGTTTTCAACTAAGTAAACACAGCAGTACCTTGGAGAATTAAAACTATGCATAATCATAATCAAGATCAAAATATAATTCTACACAACAACAAAGACATACTCGTTGGAGACAGACCCTTTTTATTGTTATTAGGGAATGGTATCAAAATGGCATCCTGTCAATCCAAGATCTTCTCACAACGACTGGTCAACTAATGTCATATCAAGATTTCTTGAACAATTACCACCGTAAAAAGACTATTTTTTTCTCAATATTATCAGCTCATTAGTGCCATCCCGAAACACCTTTTAACTACAGTTAGAAATGAAGTACCAATTAAAAAAGACTGACTCAGTTACCTTAATAATACCTTTAATTTTCAGCACACGAAATTCGAACTAGTGATTTTTACAAATTTCAGGAACCGTAATCCCCGATTATGGCTCCTGAAATTATTTAACACCAAGACACACACAGCAGAACATAAACATAAAGGCCCTTAAAGTGCCTATGAAGTAAAAACTAATTGCTGGTTGTTTGAAAGGCTTTTCAAAGTAAAGAATGGNCAATCAAGAATATCTCTAGAAATATTAAAGCAGTGTTCTTTAAACTTGGCACCAGAAATGTACATCACAAGACCTTCAATGTTCCTCGAGGCGAAGCCGAGGGGAACATTGAGGGGAAAAAAACTCACTGCTTCCCGCGGGACCAGTCATTAGGTGTTTTGTTATACCTCCCAACAGGAACTCAAAAATAGAAAAAAGTGCGAAGAAATCGTTTGCTTGCTCACAAATTTGCCGTGGTTTCAAGGAGCACGACCTGATCACGTGCAAGTCGAAAGTTCAAGTTGTTATTTCCCTAGGGAGTTAGTGAGTTTTGACCCACTACACGTGACACGTTCTCCTCCAATCGGAATACGTATTTGAGTTGGGAGGTATAACAACTACTTTTTAACAAAGGAAGACCTGTGGAAAAATGGATTGACTCATGGGTTATTTGTGATTCCTCAGAATTGCATTGCGCATCCCTACTGAGCACGATTTCCGCGTCATTAGCGCTCGCTCACGAGCGCGCGCACGTACACAACATGTACAAAATGCACTGAAAATGGTGGCTTTTTCTAAACGGCTTGGCTTGCGAGAGACAAATCATCGTTTTTTCCTCGGAAACGAGTACCGGGATCTAACGATTTTTTTATTTAGTTTGAATACAGAGATCACCTTCTTTCTATACAGTGAGGACCAATTTCTATTGCAGAGTAAAAAGTTATTAAGGAAAATGAGAGCATAGCTAGCACTTGTAAAAAATATGTGGCCCCAGAAAACTGTGTGCTTGGAACATATTGAATCCCTGTGGACTAAATATGAGTGCTTTTATAATGAAATGTACATCAAATTGCTCCTTAACATTGATGCAGTACATCCGTTATTGTATTTCTCGCCTAACTTTCTCCCTATTTTTCTGCTCTCTTAAAGCGTAAGGTGAATGGTTCAAATATAAATGTCTGAAAGCAGATAATTTCAGGAATTATAGGGTTTATTGACAGTCTTCCTGCTCCTAAACGAATATGGGGATCCTTATTTTTTATTTCAAATTTTAAGTGCTGCTGATATAAGCAGCCAGCAGGTAAAGTTTGAAAGAAAATCTGTTGTGAGTATTACCTAACAGAAGGTTGTCTCGTCTCCAGGCTCCCCTCAAACAAGCCCACCCTGAATAAGGAAGTACTTTTCCGCTTCCGCCATCAATAGACTAGCTGACAGCCTATCTAGTTACCTGAAGAATATTAAACATGGCTCAAAGCAAGCAACAAAGCGGCGGTATAAATATTTCTATGTGTAAAATCAAAAAGGAAGTCGCCGGAAATCATCTAGTGACAACTGGAAGTGCATGCGTTTTAAGATGGCCTTGGGAAATCGAGTTTGCTTCTTCCAAAACACAAGGAAAGAACCGGACGTTTGTAGTCACAACCAGTGAGGTTTTCAGCCAGCGTGATTCAAACTCAGAAACAGCTTGGAGAGCTGACTTCCTACCCTTGACTAGGTGGAGTAGAAGTGAAAAGTTTAGTCTAAATGGTGTTACGGTCCACGAGGTTCCTGTGCCAAGTCAAAAACACGCTATCACGCTAACTTTCATTCCAACAGAGACATTGCACAATCAGAAGACAATGTCAAAGTGGCGCACTGATCAATTAAAAACATCTCGTTCCAAGCTCTGCCATCACAAAGACGAGACATGCAATGAAGCAGCTGATAGGAAACAGCTTCTTTGTTTCGTACTATTGGAAACAACGTTGGAAGACGACAAATTTTCACTTCGTTGTTACGTGCTTTGCAGGAATGAAAGCGGGTCATATTTCCTGCACGATCATGGCAACAAGGCGGAAATCAGAACGCTAAAAGATTTCCATTCTAGTGAAAAACCGAGGGGATCGGTAATTTTAAACGAGAGTGGGCATGTTGTGGGATTATTGGCGTTTGGTGACATAGACGAGATTCTGCCACTGTTCTTTGCACAGAACATGCAGGGTAAGCTCACGTTTCATTATAATTTAACCAACTTCGTTTTATTCTCTAGCAAGATGAACGTTCAGGAGAGCAGAGGCCTTGCATGGTACATGTTGCAATTTATCTTCCAAACAGGACCTACAGGTCCCGGGGTACAGGTGTACAATTCTTGCTAAAAACGTAGAGTAAGACGCGTTTACGTGTTTGGGATACGAAACAGATTTGTCTAAACATTATATATAGTTTTGTTGGGGCAGTTATTTCAGCTCAAAAGTTGTAAATAGTAATAATGCAGTGCCAGATTAAAAACGATGTTTATACCAGACGTTTTGGGCCTAGCCCTGCCTCAATGCTATGTTGAGCTTTGAATTGGACACGTCATTCAGTTATTTCGGCAGCTCCCGCAACATAGCAAAATTTTAATCATGAATATATTTCCTCGAAATGTCGTTGTACGCGAGATTCGCTGTGTTCAACCTAAATCCACTACAAATTGTTTCTAACTCTCCCAACTCAGTCCACTGTCATATGGCAAACTAATGTATTTCATCCAATTATATTATATTTATAACTTTTAACTTAGACTAGCTTATCTTACCTATTTTACTTTTAGTTTTATAGTTAACGTGATGTCCTATAACGACTTAAAGATGAATAAGATGTAATTCACAATACTGTTTAACAATAATCGTCAAAGCGTTTTTAATCTAGTTATCTATTAAATATAACAAGATTTACTAAGCTGAACAGTAAAAGGGCAATCTACTTATCCTACAAGGCTTATGGACTTGTGTATTATAAAATCTACAGTTTTATAATCAACAATTAGATTATTTGCTCTTGATTTCTAAGAGGCGATAGTTGTGTTTGAACTCCATATTTATTCTTCGAGCACATGTTTCTACAACCCCTATAGGGGGGTACAACAGTTCGTGCAACGTCACATCCGGGTTACAAAACAATACAAAACGACTTATCTAGAATGTTCGGCTTGTCACGCAATGTCACATCCAATCTCTAGTACAAAACGGCTAGTCTAGAAAGTTCAGCTTTCAACAAGTTGATTTGGCCTTCGGCCTCATCAACTATCACCTCTTAGAAAGCGAGAGCGAATAATCTAATTGTTTTAGTAGAATTCTAACTGAAATAAACACAAATAACGGTTTCTAATTATCTTTCTACGCATTATTGAACTTTACACTTTAACAAAATCGCACGCATTGAATTTGTTGTTGTTTACGTGTGCGCACCCGTTTTTTCAATAATTTCAAGTTTTTAAAGTCACGAAACCCCTAATGTCCTTCTTTTAGTCTTCTCAGAAATTTAATTATCCATTTACATCTAAACTTTCTTCCAAGAAAAAAAAAAAACGATAAAAACTTTGCATTTTATGGATGGTCAATAGACATTGCACTCTAATGGCTGATAGTATACGAGTGGCTAATATAAGCCAATCAGATTGCAGCATTTGCATTAGTATATTAGTAGAATTCTACTAAAGTTGTATTAGAGTGAAGTTTCATTTAAAACTTTTGCAGGTGATGACCCATCAACCCATGTTGAGAGCAACACAAACAAAGCCCCAAGTCAAGAATGTTCTGGCAGTGATGGTCATGATATGCAGAGTGATGCAAACCAGAATGCTGAGAAACAATTTCCCTTTAACAACAATGGTCGGTTGAAGTTAAAAAGAGAACATGAAGGAGCTTCTGATGAGTCTTCAAGACACAGTATAACAACATCTGATGGTTCAGAAACTGGTTTGCAGTCAGGCATTGGAGATCCAGATTCAGGCTTGCAGGGATTTGAGATTAATCGTAAGTTTTTCAATTCACTTGACTACATCTTATCACATAGCTAGCAGTAGACTAAGTATGCAAGCATCTGTCTCTGCCTGCTGGATCTTAAGAGTTAGTTAGTTGCTTGAGGAATATTGTGGTTACCTAACTCTTTTCCCTAATACCCTCTCTAAGAAACAAAATAATTGGGGTCCTTTTTGTTTTGTTAGTCATTGAACTGGAATCATAACTGGTGAACAGTTTATCTGAATTTCTTGTTGTATAATTTGCATAACTGCACAGAACTAAATCTTGGTGCCGTTGTTTATATATCAGTCATCTATCATGTCTCAGATTGAGACTTGTTTTAATTGCTGGCTTTCACTGTTATGCCATCAAATACAAAAAAAATCCTAATCATTCATCAAATTAAGTCATGAATCCGGGACATGATGGATGACTGACATATAAACAATTGCACCAAGATTTAGTTCTGTGCGGTTTTTCATTCCTGCATTATGTGGATCGGTGTTTCACCCAAATATATAAAGCTTTGTATGGATACGCCAAATTGGTGCCCCTTGGAGGGGCACCAACATGGTGGCCAATAAGTAACAGAATTAAACATCTGTTATTAAGCTTTGCTACTGAAATAAAAAGTTATTACTCTGGAGTTCCAACATGTTGAAATATTGCTTCTTCTAGTCCAAGAACTGTCCAGAAAAACTTAGTGTTAACTCATCTTTGGTCATGCAATCTGAATGCGAAAACTTGGAAATTCAAACCAATTCAGCGCTACGCATCTTGTTGGCTATAACCATCATCTAATATCCAATGCACGCTCATGGAATAATATTGTCAATTGTCTAAAGGAAAACACTGGATAACCATTTATTTTGAACCTGGTTCCAGATACATGTATTGTATGGACATGGTCCCCTGAAATTACCATAATATCAAATTAGTTTTCATAAAGTTTTTAAATAAAATTTCCCAGCTGATTGCCCAGAATTCTTTTAATGCAAGTAATCAGATCTGTGAGTTTTATACAACCATATATTTCCCTTGTTGCTGGTTTTCTGTTGTTTTCATCACCTTTTTGCTTGACAGCATATTGATATCCTCAGGAGAAACGAGCTAGGAGTTTTTAATCTTTAGTTTAATTGTATTATAGAAATTATGCTCTTTTACCTGTCAACATCTCACTTCATGAATGCATATAATCAGAATTGTATACCACGCTTAATTTCCATAAATCCAAAGATGGTAACAAAACATCATGTTACTTAGCTTCATCTTCCATCATATCATACTTCCAACTAGAACAAATGCGTGGTAACAAACATCAACCACAGGAGTTGTCATTTCGCTCAATTGTGCCACAAACAATGGAAGGCACTGGTGTTGTTGAAGAGGAATTAAGACATCCATTGCAATGTCAGACAGAAGGAACATTAACTCATCCTGTCAGTGGAGTATCAAGAAGGTCTCATAGTACCATGACACCAAGGCCACAGAGAAGCCAAAGGGAGCTTTCAGAAATACCTCTGAAATCAGGTACTAAATCCTGAAATAAATCATTATGCAGTGTAACCTTCCCATTAGCCAACACCTGTGAAATAGGGATGAGTGTAGAAAATGTGGTAAAAAAAAATGGTATGCTAGTGTGTGGTTAGTTCCAAAACTAACAGTAACTTACAAGATGTGTAGCTATCATGGAGTTCTCTTATCAGTAAAGTTTAGACTTAGCACAAATATTGAATTAAAGAAAGCTATCAATTTGTGCAGTATGCTTGAGCAAGTTGACTTTTCAAGAGTAACCTGGGTTGCACTGGTTACCATTCACTTTAGAAATGAGTTCAAAGCACTTTTAACCACTTAAAATGCAATGGACAATTTTCTCCTGAGTTGTCCTTGTTTTAAATCCAGGGCAACCCTCAGTAATGTTCTTTTACACGTACTTGCACTGCAACAAAGCTCTGAAATGCACCAATCATTATCAGAAGTGCCAAAACCATGATGGTAATTTTAAACTAAGTTCAGATATTTGCAAATTTTTAGCTTCTACATTCCACATTGTAGAGTTTTTAATTACATGCAACAAGACTTTCACACGCATTCTCAATATATAAAGAACTCATAGGAATCTGACTTTTTTAGAATTTATAGATGATGAACAAGTCATTGAAATGTCATTTGAAATTATTATCACTGATTTTTATTCTTAATTGTTTGTTGAAAGCCTCCGTTATTACCATAGCTTCATATTACAAATTTGTAATTTAGGATTTAGATGTTCTTCTTCTTATATTGTATGAATTTTGTACTACAAAATGTATTGTATTATTGTTAATTTTGGTAAATTTGAAAGTATTGATCAATAACAATTAATTTCATTATCAATTTCAAATTACTATTCAACTGTCATTTCAGATACCGGGGTTGAAGATGTAATCTTGCACAAAGTCTATCTAATGGATGCAATTAGCCGTCATTTGGATATGTCTTGCAAAGGCATTCAAAACTGGAGCCATTTGGCCAGTCTTCATGATGTGTCTGTCTACCTGCGGTTGAAATGCCAAACAGGGGAACATCATTCCAGGTCTGAGAAAATGTTTGATCTGTTATCAGCGGAAGATCCTGACCTCCTCATTGGAACTCTGAAACAACACCTCAGAGATCTGAAAATAAATAATGTGGAGCATTACATAAAAGAACTCAATTTGAGAGGTAAATAGTGCTGCGTCATTTTAAACGATGTTGTTGTTGGATGTGTTACTTGAGCACTTAATCAAGCATTTATTTAAAGCCTTGAGCCCTGTGGTAGTTTCAAACTTTTGATCTATCTTTCAATATTGTTGGGTGAAAGTGTTCAGGAACCATTTGACTATCCTGCAGGAAGATTTTGTAGAGTGTTTTAAGGCATTGAGCATAATTTAATTGATTAAGTCAAACTTGTGCTACATCCTCTATCATTTCTTGCATGTTTTCACTGGTCATGATATTAATTGGATTGGAGGCTGCACATTGGTTCTAATTACACCACCAAGGAACGATGCTTGTCACCAGAAAGCTCAATTAAGAGATAGAAGCTATTTACAATAATGATACTGATGATTTGAGCATGATAACTGCTGCTGCAGTGAGTGAGCCTGAAGCAAACAAACGAGGCAGCAGATCTAATTTACAATATAGGAGAAATCAATCGCTTTTTGTGCAAAATGCAAGGAATTTGCAATAGGAATTGTGGTAATGTGCAAATGGAAGAATAGATCAATATTTTGATATATTAAAATTCAACCCAAAACAATAGACCTCAGTACGAGGCTCCAGGGAATAACTACAGAGTTTGTGGGGTTAATCACCCAGAGCCTCATACGGAGGTCTATTTTGTTGGGCTGAATTTCAATATATCAAAATCGGTCTATTAAAATGCGCTGTTTTCCATGTGCTCTCTTTGATTGATAAAACCATTCTCCTTCCCAGAGGCCACGCTCCTTTTGGTCAGCACCAAGAAGCGCAACCTCTGTGAAGCTTCAATTTTCTGAGCATATGCCGAGTAATCGTTTCATATTCTCAGCCAATCATATTTGTCAGACTTGACTCTGAGCATGCGCAGAGTGACAGAAAGTCTGTGAATCGCGGACTTCCAGTGTTGGACCTACCTAGAGGTCACGATTCTTGGTGCTGACCAAAAGGAGCACGGCCTCTGGGGATGAGAATGTGATAAAGCAAGGATGAAAGCTATTGGGAACAACAGGAGCATCAGTCCATAATATCCATCAAAATACTCATGTGGAGTAAGTTCTATGGAAAAAGTTTGCCACAACTCTTGATATTTTCAACAGATGTTTCGGCTAATGCTTAAGCCTTCATCAGTGGTATGAAAGCAAAGTTCGTTGTCATATACTATTTAAAGTGGCGTGAAGCTTGTGCACATAACCATGTAACTCATGCTCGCGTGATGCCTTTGTAGGACTCGTGTTGAGACTCATGTGGAGTGTAATACTAACAAAAGTAATTTCGAAAATTACAGAAATGAAGAAGTTAGTAAGTCAAAGGTGCCCACCATGATAGAGAACCAGGGATCCATATTTGCGGTCATCCATGACAACTAAAAAATCGTAGGGGTGACAAATCAATACAAAAACTTGTCCGCTGGATGAGTTGAGTTTGATTTTACCAGAAAAAAATGAACATTTCTTAAATTTTCTCATGAGTTCCCTGTATTCTGACCACTTGTCATCCATTTGGAACTTTTAGAAAACAGAAAAAGACTTGCAGCTTTCTTTTGCTATAAAATTGTCATTTTGGTCCACCATCTGGGATGATGTGGTATTCTCTCTGAATGAAATCATTGCAGGCTCAATTTTCATTTTGTCAACTGCTGATGCTCTGTACTGCATCTGCAGCTGCAAAAACACATTGCGTGATTGATCAGGATATGTCGTTTAGTAATGTTAACACTTCTGAAAAACAAGCCAAATACAAGCAGGAAGAGGGAAAGCATTCCTTTCAACCTTCATGGCAGTAGAAGAGGCCTTGGTTTTCTTTTCTACTTGGAGCTACTTGGATTTTCTGTGTCCGTCAACAGCCACAACTACAAAAAAAAAAGAAAAAAAAAACCACAACTACGGACATGAAGTGCTGGGAGACTGATCACTGAAAATAATAAAAAAGTAAGCTTTCCATTTACATGCTGTTTGGTTGCCATTCTTTCCTATTGAATGGGCAAGTAAAATTTTGCCAGGGTAAGTATGTAATCTGGCATACTTGCCTGGCAGACGGCTTGGAAAAAAGCCCAATATGGATCCCTGGAGAACCAAGTCAGTTTTCAAAATTTTATCGTTAGCTTACCATAAGTATTAAGGCTCTCAAATCCTGATGTGTAGAAGTAAACCAGTTGTAGTCAATTGTGAAAAAGGTTCAATGTTGTATTGTGCAATTGATGATGTTTATCTGTGTAAATTGCCAAAACAGCAAGCCAGGCACCTGTTTTTTAGTTTGAAGCAGAGTTTCCTCTCATTAAGTGTTATTCGCAATCTGTCGAAGTTAATATTATTAAAAAAATCACAGATTTTACTGGTACCGTTTATATTTTTCTTCTGCACAACTTTATTTAACATTTTGGAAATCACAAAGGGAAAAAAATCACAAAGGGAAAAGTACACTTCATTCCAATCCATCGCAAATATTATGGCTTGTTATTGTTATTAAAAATCTCAAAGTCATTCAGCTGTGACCTAAAACCTTCTGGAATGACTTCTATTTCTCATGAAATATTCGAATTTAGAAACCTTGCAACAATGCTATTTAATTTTTTAGAGAAGTTTCTGGAAACTCCAGGTGAACTTGTATAAAAGTGCGAGTTTCGTCTGTAAGGGAGCAGTGAAAATGTAATGGAGCTTAGTGCTGAGTGCTGTAATTTGAGAAGTTAAATAAACCAGTTTGTTACTGTTACTGACAATTCTGATTTCTGTAAGGGAACAACCCTGCTCTTCATTGACACTCCTTACATCCTCCTTCCTTAATCAGTAGCATTTTGTACCATTTAGGTAAACTAGTATTTAGTCAGTATTGAAAACAATGAAGTGCATATAGGAAAAACAAGGTGGTCAAATGAAGAAACTGGAAGTTTGCTTTAGAAACATTAGTAGTTTTTAAGAACTCACTGGAACCACAATCTGGACAGCATTTTTACAAATCATTTTGTACAATTGAATTGCTCTACAGGATTGTCAACTAAAAATGACATTGCCTTCACAAAAAATACACTGTCTAAATGCATGTACTTAAAGCTACAATTACATTATTTCAACTTGCAATTAAAAATATTTAAATTTAGCCTACTTCTCTTTGATAGATGACGAGAAGGTTGCAGACTTTTTAGAATCACCTGATCTCATCCCAGGCAGACTACTTATCATGTTAGATCTTCTACCAGAAGAAACCTGGAAAGATCTTGGAGATAAACTGGGTGTTAATCGTGAAAAACTCAAGCACATCAAGACTGATTGTGCAAATCAACAAGAAAATCCTGCAAGCCATGTAATCAACATCATTTACAGATCACAGCCGACAATGCCCGTTGCAAAGTTTGAGGAACACTTGACCAATATAGGACGGTCTGACGTGGCAAAAAAATTAGACAAAATATCAGGTATGTCAGGTGCAATTACCAGTAATCTAAAATTAAAATATGATTTGTTATAAAATAAGATAGCAAATTTGTCTGACATTTAAAAGCAAGTTTGAGTTATCAAGTGATCAGATAAACAACCAATCACATTGATATCATTGCCACCTGAATTTAATTAAGTTTCAATTTCATTATCATGCTAGTATATTTGTTATGAAGTAATATGTCAAACACGTAAAGCTGTGTTTGACCCCTTTTCCGAATACTGAGATGAGTGTCGAAAATACTCCACTATGTGTCATATTTTCATCTCTCTTCTCAGTGTTTGGACATATGTGGTCAAACACAGCGACTTTCGTAGACCCTATTCATAAATGGCTGCCAATATGAAATTATTTTGTATGCATTTAAATTAGCCTCACTAAACTCGTTTGACAGACAAAAACTTCTTTTGAATTATCTACTCAAAAACGAGGTTAGTCAGGCTAATTTTAATACTTACAAAAGAATTTATAATTGGCAGCAATTTATGAATAGGGTCTATGTTTGTTATATAATTTACATCTTAATCGAAACTAAAAGTGAGGGAAAAAACTGAGAGATAAAATTGTAAGATGCAAAGATGCTAAGCTAAAAATATTGCAATCCTGGAAATTCCCAATTTTAGCAAAAGTTTTTCAAAGGGAGAGCTTTGCCAATTCAACTTACAAAATGAATCAATTGTCCAAACATTTTCCCCCTAAAGCGCCAAAATTCGAACTGACTGAGTTCGAATGAACAGGGTCCCAGTGTAGAAAAAAATATATACTCTGAGCACTTTCCTTTGTACCCAGTAGATTCAGTCTGTATTCGGGAGACTCCTGGATAATCCAGGATAGTTGGCATAGATGTAAATAACCAAACATCACCAACCATTTTTATCAGCATAGTGACTGAATTTGTGTTTAGCTTGGTTACAGTGTAAGGGCAATAATTAAATGTTCTTTTTAAAGCGAGCCCCTTTGATTAACCACTCTCTCCCAGAGCAATTCGAACTAATTACATTAATGCGTGATGAAGTAGCATCATGCTTAAAATCATAAATTATCCCAACTGACACTTTGTTCTACTACATATGAAGATTTTCACATGTTTATTTTACTTTGCCTGGCCCAATACCCTATGTAATTGGGTTTTATATCATTTGTGTACATAAATTTTAAGGGTAAGTCTTATTTAGAAATAATGTGAGTGAGCAAGCCATGGTGATGATTGTTTTGAGAACTACTGTGTCGTTATCAAGTTCGAGATAGTAAACCAACTGAAAAAACGTGTTGCCATGAACATATTCAGCCTTACCGATCAAAATTCCAGTTGATAAGATGTTTTTGTTTGTCTGTGTGTTTTGTTTTCTGCTCTGATTTTCAAAGAGTAGAGTAATGACCACTACTTTCACGCCACTCATCCACCATTTTGTATCCATCCCAATGTGCATTGCATGGTATTTGCAATGCAGTCTGGGATAGTGGGGTGAATCAGCTGCAATGATTGGTTTTCATTTCAGGCAATCAGTTTGCTTGTTTGATTTCAATTGGCACCCCACTACAGAGAAGACGTGCTGATTTTGAATCTGATACAGAGAACAACATGTCATGTATAATCTTACTAGGCAAAATATACATGTGCCATATGTCACTGAGTACAAAGCATCTCTACTGTATACTTCCGAAAGTAGTGACCCCGCGAAAGTAACGTCAAAAAATGTGGCCCCCAATAGATCCCGAAAATAACAACCCCCAAAAGTAGCTAGCCCTCCAAAACAAGAGAGCCTACTCTGAAAACAGGGAGACCAAGGTTCAGTAGTATATCTATTTTCCCAATCAATAGTCAAGTGAAAGTTACTATACGATCAAGGCACTCTACAACAAGGGAAGGTATCGCTTATGCCACAAAGCGTTGAGAAAAGTCAATTTGTGCTTTGTCAGTTTACGTTGCGCCATTTTAACACAAAAACCGTAGGATTTTCATCAAGTAACAAGAACGTACTAACAGGAACTTTTTAAAATTTTAAAAATTGACAGCTCCTGATCTGCGGCGTCGACAAAACCTGGATCGGACCGGACCGGATCACGGATCGGATCACGGACCGGATCACGGATCGGATCACGGATCGGATCACGGATCGGAT